AGCCCGCTCCGCCCCGGTGCCACCCCCGCAAGGACAAACACACCCGTAGGGTTGTGCGCTCGCAGACACGCAGGGATCCACGTGTGTTTGTCTACATGTCGGTAAAACAGCGGCCCTGCCAATGCATGTGTGCACAGACGGGTATGAACACATCTGCACACACATCTGTATGTCCTTGTGTGCACATATACCCCCTATACAAGCATGGGTGCATTTGAGTGTTGGTGTTTTCAACCCTCCCCTGCTGGGGCTGAGCTGCTTTGCCCCCTCCAAGCACCTGCACCCCCTCCAGCATCGGCACTCACCCCGTGTTTGCCTCTCCCTCCTGCAGTCCTGGGAAGGGGGGTCCTGCCCGCAGCCCCACGTCAGCGATGGCCAATATCGGCCCTGGTATAAACAGAAAACAAATGGGTTTTCGATGGGCAGGAAGGGCGCCGCGCGCGGCACCGCGGCGATCGATCGCCCGCGCCGGGCAGCGCTTTGCAGGGAGCAAACAAATTGTTTGGCCATTTCTGGCTTTTAATGCTGCAATCGGGGGCCAAATGAGGCTGGGTGCGCAGCGGGTGCTTCCTCCGGCCGCGCTGCCCGGCAGCTCCTTGACGCACGTTTGCAATGACCTGCATGGCCGGGACGGATCCTTCCTCCCTGCCTCCCCAGCGGAGCAGGGAGCCAAAAAATGAGGGCAAAGCTGTGGAAATCAGTGGCTTTTCTGCCCCTGTGTGGGACACGAGTGCCCCTTGTGCCGCCCGCTCATGCCCGAATGGCTGCAGAGAGCCTGGTAGGAGGCAAGGAGGGGGCATCCCCAGCAGGACACACTGCGCCAAAAACCACAGGCCCTACTGGCACCTGCATGGCCTGGGACATGGGGACAAGGGACAGATTTGTTGCAAAAAAATGCACTGGTTTATGATGAAGCAGTAGGACCTGGGGACACCATCGCCTTCTTACTGGTTTTGCCTTTCTCTTTCCCAAAGTGTCCCCCAGGCCTCTTCCCGGCAGCGGCGCAAGGTAGGGAAGCGTTCCCAGGTGGCGGGATGAACAGGCTGGATGTCAGCCCCATCCCGCAGGAGCCAGCGGACAAACCCGGCTCCGTCCTGGCTCCCCGGTGGTGCCCAGAGCTGCCCCGCGAGCTCCTGGAAGCACTGGGAGCTCCGGGATGCGCCAGGGTCCTGCGTGAGAATGGCCCTGCCCAAAATCACAGAATTGTTACGCGGCATTTTTATGCCGCTCTGCCATAGCAGACACAAGCTCCTGCTGGCCCGTACTCCGAGGGAGCTCGCTCTGCCCTGGACATCCCTATTCCTGGTTATTCCGAGGTGTCCAGGGGCTGCGTGAGAATGGCCCTGCTCAAAACCACAGAATTGTTACGGCTGGAAAATACCTCCAAGAAGATCGAGTCCAACTGTAACCCATCCCCATCCTCTTGCTAAACCTTGTCCCCAGCTGCCTCTCTACAGGGTTCTTGGATGCTGCAGGGACGGCGACTCCACCACGTCCCTGGGCAGCCTCATCTGCTGCTTCACCCCTCTTTCCACATAAAAACGTTCCCAGATATCCAAGCTGGATGTCCCCGTGGTGCAACTTGAGGTTGTTTCCTCTCGTCCCAAGGAGCAGCAGCCCCTGTGTGGGCACAAAGCCAGGCCAGGCATGAGCGGCCGCGCAGGGACAGCGCAAAGGGATCGGCTGCCGCGCAGCCCTCGTGTGCCCCTTGCTTCAACCACCCCATGGAAGAGGAAGGGCAACCGCAGAGCGGCTCCTCGGCCACCCCTTCCCGCACGCGCTCCACCCGGAATCAAACCCAGCGAGCAAGTGCTTTTGAAAATCATTTTTATTTAAATAAGACTTTAAATACATTACATAAAACATTAAAAATGAAACCAAAGTCTGTTACTTCACAGGGCATTAGGCAGCAGTTGCTAGTAACATGTAAGCTCTGCAGCTCTATCTACAATGATACTTGTTACATTAGTCCAAATTTGATCCCTTGTCAAAAGTTTAACCCACGCGGAACGGTTCAAGTATGTTACCCCAGGAGCTTTGGGCTTGTGACACCAGGGCCCGGCCTCAATTGCAGGCATCCGGCCTCAGAAGTCACTTCAGCTACTCTTCTTGCTCCAAGCTTCCCCATGTCCCTCTGCCACCAGGAGCAGGCGCTGCCTCGAGGGAGGGTGACTGTGTCCCCATCCATGTCCCAGCTCGCCTTCGGTGCCTCACTCCATGTAGGACGGCGGCGGCACCTCAAGTTTTACTGCCCATTGAAGGGGGAAGGAGGCAGGAGCGAGGGGAGGCTCAGGCAGCTGCTGGACTGACATGTCGAGTCCCTTGACTTAGCTTGAGACACGTGGTTAGTTTTAGCTTCAGGCTGGGCAGTGCCAAACGCCTGATTTACCTCCGTTAAATGAGGGACAGCAAGACGAGATAGCATGGGCTCGTGTCAGTTTATTACATCACTGCGTTACACTAGTCCAGACTGAACAGTGGACCCAAGGTTGTTACATTACACAAACCCGCTGGTTTTAAACTTATGACAAGGGACAGATGGGATTTTCATGGTAAGGAAGTCTTCTTGCATAAAGCTCCAGTGACCCACAGGCACTTAAAACCCATGGACTTTCAGCTGGTCGTCTTTAGCCAGTCCAATCTGCAAGAAAGGAGATGCGCTTTATAGTACAAACTAAACAAGCCCTTGCTCATGTTTGTGCCCAGTTTATGCTGTAGAGTTGCCAGATATCTGCCCCAACAACCAGACTGCAAAACCTCACTGGGCAAGTTTTAACTCAAGCAAGAACAGCAAGAAAAACACCCAGAGCTTCCTCCAGAAGCGGGTTAGGCTAAGGAAACTCAAACCTACGGGGCTATTCATTAAGGCAAAGACCCACCTTCCCTCCAGACACTAGCGAGCAGCCTGAAGTACCCTACCTCCACGAGGAACTGGCAGATGTTCTTGCGCTGGTCGCCCTGCAGCTGAATCACTTCTCCATATTCAGGGTGTTCAATCACAGTACCATTGCAGGCAAATTTCTGTAGAGAAAAGGGGCAGAGAGAGGGGTGAGGGGAGGGCTGGCAGCGCGCGGTGGTGCAGCCCGCGTGCAGGGGATGGCGCACGCACCTTCTTGAAGGCTTTCACCAGCTTCTTTTTATCGTAGTCATCCGCGATGCCCTGGACGGTGGTGAGGGTCTTCCTGCCGTTGCGCTGCTGGATCCTTATATGGATGTAGTCCTCAGTGCCGGCAGGGAGCAGGTCATCACCCTTACTTGCATCAGCAAAGGGGTCTGCGGCACAGCGCGTTGTCACCGCGCCGCCGCGTCCCATTGGCCGCGCCGCCCG